ATCCCGCCGGTCCGCTGCTGGTTCCCGCCGGAGGCTGACAAACGACCACCCGCGGAGCTGCTGCCAAGCCCCCCACCCGTCGCCGGTCCAGAACGAGCGAATTGAGGGCCAACTCCCGTTGTAGCTCCCCCGCGTGAAGAAAAAGAACCGAACTGTCCCTGTTTCTGTGCCAGCTGGAGCTCAATGAGAAGGGCTCGCTGATGAGCATCCGACACGGACTCGGGACGAAACATGTTCAGCATATCACGGATCCCCGTACGCAAACCACCCACATAACGTGAAACCAGCTGATTTCTTGTCTCGTGCAAGTCGACACGAGTTAAAAGGCGATGGAACTCCGTCGTATATTCATTCACTGAGCGAGTCCCCTGGCGTAAATTTTGCAGCTGTTGATACACAAGACTATCGAAGTTGAAGGGTACAAACTGATACCAACTAATGTAGAGCGTAGTACAATTGGGGATAAATTGAGATACTCTCTCAAGAACGAACAAGCAGAAGTTTTTCAATTCATCAATAATCTGTCTTATTTGATCGCAGTTCACATATAAATAAAGAGAAAGAGTTCTAATCTAGTATCTTGCCTAACATAATGCAAGATATTTATTTTAATTACTTAAAATAAAAGGAAATAACATAATAAGCAAATAAATAATAAACGACTTAAACGCGAAGCCTTTCGTATTTATTCAAGAAGGCGATCGCGGTCTCGTCTCCATCAGCAAGTGATCGAGAGTGTGACTGATGAGAAATTACCAACAAAAATATGTGACATTGAAGTATGTGGTGTTTCGCATACTTGTTAACTATATGCCGATTTAGATAAGCAAGTCATAAATTACGCGAAAACTTGTCGCATAATTGTAAATATGCGACTATCAATTTGGTTATGCGATATATATGTGAAATAAATTCGCATAACAAAAATTATGCGATAAACTTGGATATGCGATTAATAAATATGTGAATGTGTTTTGCATAATTGTTAATTGCATGCGTCCGATTTAGATACGCATTGGTATATATACGACAAAATCTCGTATAATTGTTAATTAAGCGATTCATGTGGATATGCAACTTTTTATATCACATATAATTTCATAAGTTGTGGGTGAAAAAAAATGAAACAATATGTGAAAGAAAATATATATATATATATATATATATATATATATATATTGAGTGTCGTTACATATTTTCTTTAGTTATTGTTGGAATTGTGACTTGTGAGTTGTCCACATTGATTTGATAGGATAAATAAGCCTAGTGGGCTACTCCTTCCATCACCAATTGGTTTTGGGATGAAACCTCACTATGGTGCACTTAGATTCATCCTCTTATTGTGTGCTTCACTTGTATGGGACCGCACCCCTGATCCCCCGATTATAAAAATTTGACATAATATCAGAGATGGCCTAATTTGGGGCCTCCAATGATTTAAAAAAAAAGTGTACTCGACCTGGTTGTAGGTTTGGGCTTATGATGATTAACTGTACTCGGTCTGGTTGTAGGCTTAGGCTGATGAAGGACTCATAAGTGAGGAGGCGTGTTGGAATGTCACTTGTGAGTCGTCCCATATGATTTGATAGAGTAAATGAGCCTAGTTTATAAGCCTACTAGCACTACAAGAAAATAGAGTTATAGTGATAATTTTTTTTGTCACTATATCTACAATTATTGTCACTATTAATAGTTAGTGACAAAATATGTGTTTGTCACTAGTTGTCACTATAGGTAGTGTCACTAAAAGTTATAGTGACCATTTTTGTTATTTATCACTAACCATAGACTTTTGTGACATATAATTTTTATCACTAACCATAGGCCTTTTGTGACATATAATTTTGATCACTACTAATCCATGATTTAGTCACTAATATTCATCATTCTCAAACCATAGTGACACCGAATAAAATTGTCACAATAGACATTTTCAATGACGATATTTGTAATCTCACTAATTTTTTGGTCACTACATGTGTTATTTCTTGTAGTGTAATGAGCTACTCCTGCCATCACCAATTGGTTTTGTGAAGCTTCATTTTTTTTTATTGTGTGCTTCACAAGAATGTATCATTAATGCAAAACTAGAAGTACAACTACTCACTCACACATAGGAAATGTGGAACCAAAAACAAAAATAAAATAAAATAATAATACCAAATCATTGAAATATAACTTCAACTTATTATATTTTTTTTTTTTCGAAACATTAACTTCAACTTATATTTACCAGACCTATACATACATATATATGTAACTAATGAACCATATGTTGCCATATTCTTTCCACCATTATGAAGCTCCCATAGGGTTAAGATTGGGCGTGAATATGCGTTGTCCCGTGGCTAAAATATGTCTCGGGTCGAATTCGTCCTTTCTTTTCGAAAATAAGGCCCATTTTTCCCCAAAATGATTTTTCCACTCTTCTTGTGTAGTGTAATGAGGTAGATATTGTTTAACTTTTATTCCGGCCTCTTCACAAAATCGCAATATTTGACGATTTTGATTGCTCAAATACTCTAACGTTTGCGTCTCTTCACCATTGTCCAATGCAGATCTAAGTAGCGCTACTAAGTAAAACACGTCTTCGTCAGGAGTTACGACTGAGGTTCTCTCGTCCCATCTGCATTTCAAATCGATGAGCTCGTTGTTAGGGTCAAGTAAGCCATGTCAAAGAAAATTTTGATATAAATGAATCAAAACCAAAAGTTTTTAGGTATGAACATACGCATCTTCTTCTATTGAAGTTAAATATTATAACTATGAAAAAATTGAATAAATAGTAATAAGACTTTTGCTATATGTATGCTTTTACGATTTAGTAATTATACTTTTGAGCAGATATATATGAATACTTTTAAATTGAAATGTCACACTATAAACTACAATTATGACATCACACAGAATTCGTATATAATTGATTGTAAGCGTATAACGAGTCGGCTCGTCTAAAATTATTTGAGATTATTTTGTTCGGGCTCACTTGTTTTTATTCATGGGGTAGATGAGGATAGGGCCGCTAGTGTTGTTGCCCAAAATGCCCTTGAACACCCCTTCATCGAAGTCCGCAATTCTTGATTTGGGCACAAATAGGTTTAGCCATGGGTGAGGAACATCCCACAGGTTCTTGGCCCGTAGCTTTAACTCGGCCTTGTGAACCCGGTCCAGAAAATCCACATACGAGATTTCAGTTGTAAAAACCGAAGAGGGTATAAAATTCAATTTCTTTAGTATGGCCTCCACTTCCTGAAAATTAATTAATAAATAATATTATTAAGATAAGATAAAATCACTTCTAAAAGAAAAAAAAAAACATTATTTGGATGATCTATAGCTGTCATATAATGGGAAATGTTACGGTCATGTTACGGAATCATTCCGTCAGAGTTTGTGATCGTTAATCATCATGTAATCATCTGGAATAGTTGATCTAATAGTTATAAACTCCGACAAAATAGTTTCGTAATAAGACCGTAACATCTCACTCGTATGGTATAATATAATATAAGCTAAAGTACAATAAAGTTGATGTCAAACTCTTAAAAGCGTATCTCAACTCAAAGATTTTCAAGAATTTTGCGACTTGTCTTTTAATGCTGATTACGGCTTTTGATGGCTAAGTGCTTTAATTTTAGAAAGCACTTACATACTAATCCAAGTAAAAAAAAATAAATAATCTAAAAGATGATATTTGCTCACATCCAATGCCCAATCAACATAAAAAGTACAAATGTGTCTTAATTAATATATACTTTAAAAAAAAAAAAAAAATTAGATCATTTTCCTCTCTTTTGTGAGATCTTATTAAATAAAACAGAACATAATCTTTGTAAGATCTGCCTTTATTTTGGCAATCAGCCTAACAGAACAAAGAAGATTCTCTCACTGTGCAAAATCCATAAATGAGAGGAGAGATGGATCAATCCGTTATGAAACTACTTTGTCGGATTTGTAACTGTTAGATCATTATATAACCGTCGGAGATAATTGATCTAATGGTTATAAACCCGACGGAATGGTTCCGTAACATGACCGTAGTATTTCCCAAATAAAAGATAAAAAAAAAAAGAGAGAAAACATTTAAAGTAGTGTTGGATATGTAATCAATATTAAAAATTTGAATTTTTCAATCGAAATCATTTTCAAATTGGTTAAATATAAATATTACGTTACTGATATCAATTAATCACATTTCAATAAGATGATTTTTAATATGCTTTAAAATTACGGGACAATTTTCTAAATTCTTTTAAAAGGTAAAATAAAATATAGATGTAACTATCCTTGCTCCTAAATAGTTGAAATTCAAATTGGTGAAAAATCATGGTGTGAATTTGATCCTACTTGTGAATCACTTTATTATCTTCATTTTTTTTATTTTTTATTTTTTTTTCTGTAATGTGCATATAATATTCACGTATATGCGTTAAATAAAAAGTTTATAAATAAAACTAATAGTGTGTGTATAAATTAATTTTCAAAATTTAAAATAATACTGTTCATTTACTTAGGTCTTTATTATAAACTAGTACAACGCTCGTGTATTACACGAGTGCTTGTTAAATTTTTTTTTAAAAAAATTTAAAATTAATAAGAAAAAATAGTTGAAAATTTAAATACTTTTTATAAAAAAATATATGTTATTATATTTTAGTATGACACTTGTTACTTGTGCGACTTACATGTGTCATATTATAATAATTTTTCTAACTTATTAACATATAACTACATTAAACATAAATATATTTATTGAAAAATAATTTTATTTTTATAATTAATTTTAATGAATATTTTTTTATTATTATAAGATAAATATAATTTATTTATTTTATATATACAATATGAATGTTAGATCGAAACTTGTAAAAAATGATCAATTTGAGATATTATTTATGTAAAACCAATAAAAAATACAAAAGTTATCAACTTTTAAAAAACATTTACAATTCAATAGTTATACTAGGAAATGATATTAAAATACAATTAATACATCTAAAATGATCATAAATAAATCAACTTATTTATAGTAATCAAACTTAATTATTTTTTGATTGGAATTAAATTAAAATTTATCCAATCCAAATAATAAAGCATGGAATTTTGATAACTAGGATTCCGAAGCATGCGAGTCTGCCATTTAAGCTCAACACATTCGAGAAAATTGTATATAGAGGGATATGTATTTATGACAATCCAAACTTAAGCTATTTAGTATAAAAAAAAGTTAGTAATTTTTATCAAGTCATATTACAAAGGCTAATAATATTTTGTCACATCAAAATTACGAATGAAGCATGCGAAACTGCCATTTAAACTCAACGAATTCGTTACGTACCTCATCAATGGTATCGGCATTAGATTCGACATAATTTTTGACAACTTCAAGACAATATAAGACGCCCCCATCAGCATTAAGAGTGGAAATCTTGACGGGATTTCGCGGGGAAAAGAATGAGGATCGCCAGTTATTAATAAGCCCTTCATCAACGATCACAAAGCCTTCCACGTAGTCAAATCTCTCTTCTTTCCCATGCAGTGAGACGAGGTACTCTTGGTCTTGCGTGAAGGCCGAGAAGTTAGAGTACAACACCCTGATCCACTTCACCTACACAATGATCAATATATCACTAAACAAATTAATAATTAAGGGAAATGCTATGATTCCATTACGGTACCATTCTGTCGGGGTTTGTAATCGTTAGATAAACTATCATCGACGGTTACATGATGATCTACGATTACAGACTCAAACGGAATGGTTCCGTAACGAATCGTAGCATCTTCCAATAATTAACAACATATATAATTAAAAATGTCACCTTTATTTTTTTTTTTTTTTTTTTTT